GCGGTAGACCGTGTACACCTTCTGGTTGTCGAAGTCGAGGCGGGACGTGGGGCTGAAGTCCCGCACGCACGAGACGGGCAGCGCATAGCAGACGTTGTCCTCCAGGAACCGCACAAAGGCGTACATGGCGCGGGGGGGGGGCGGGGGGCGGCGGCGGCTCCGGGCCCCTCGCCGCCTGCACTGTTATTGTTCCTGAAAGCGCGCCTCGGCGCTCGGCTGAGCGCGCCTGGCCGCCCCGCCGCTGGGGCAGAGCGAGCGGGTCCGGGCTCCAGGCAGACCGGAGCAATCCAACGCCGAGCGGAGGCAAGCCCGGCTGGCGCGCGGCGCTCGCTCCCTGCGAAGGGCTGCGGAGCGGGGCGCGAGCCAAGCCCGTGCGCTCCAGCCTCCCCCGTAGCCGCTCCGCGGCTCGCCTGGCTCCGCGCATGGCCCCCGCTCCCACCTCCTGCGGGGACAGCGGGGCATGCAACCCCCGTCCACACTGCAGCGCAGCAGCCACACGCCCTAGTGCGGGCTGGCCCATCGCACGGCAGCCTGGAATCGCACCCTAGCCCGCGGACCTGCACAAGAGCTCGGGGGGCTCCAAAGCTTGGCTCTCGCCCCCCCAGAAGAGGGTCCCATAAACATGTGACCTCCTGCAGCTGGTCTCCGTTATGAACGATTTATAGTACACTCCAGCTTAGGGCTTATTTAGGCCCCTGAAAAGGATTCCCCCCAAAGTCAGTGGATGCTCCCCAGGAGTAAGAACAATCCAGCACAACCCTTGAGCAGGGCCTTAATTTGGACTCACTGGAAAAACTGAGTTTACATTTAAGGTCTGTTTTTCTCAGAGCTGAGCGTACTTAATTCCCTATCTTCAGCTGGAATCAGGAACAGTCAAGTCTGTTTGAATATCAAGCCTTTACACCTAAGATCTGTGACCTAGCTTAAGGAATTTGCTTCTGCTATTTATCTCCACTTTGGGGAGTCACCTGGCCCAGAGAAGGGGGCTAGTGGGAGAGGGTCTTCTCTTCCCCTCTCCTGGCAGAGTAGGGCTCGGCTGACTACAGCTCAAAATCATCCTGCTGCCTGGACCAAGATGATACAACTGTGCCCCGGGCAGGAACTAGGAGCAGTGGCCCCCCTGCCCATAGTAACAAATAGTGGAGATAAATTCCTAGAAGCCAGATAGGTAGAACATATCCTGCCATAATCATAATCACAGGGCAAACCTATTGACACTGTTGTATTTACTAAAAGAAAAGTCCTTTTTTAAAAAAATTTGGTTCTCAAGTTCCTACAAGATGGAGACAACTTCCTATCCTACAGCATTGCCCATTGGTTATGGGTAGAAAAACCCATGGCCCCCGCTGACTCCTTATCAAAGGTGAAATGAGCTACTCACAGAAAATACAGTAGGATTACTGGGTCTCATCCTCCAAAGAGAACAGCAAGATGCAGAGGGATTGTATGGGATCAAAGGGCTGAGAAACTCACTGGAGTCTACCATAGGTTTGGAAAAGATCTGAGCTTCTGGATACTTATTCAAAGTGAACTGTGAATGTTTTGGAGTTTATGCCAGGTGCATGCGTTCACTTGCGTGCTCTCTAGGTGGTACTCCCCTGTGTCTTAGAAGCTCAGTGGTTTGAGTATTGGCCTGCTAAACCCAGGGTTGAGAGTTCAATCCCTGAGGGGGCCACTTAGGGATCTGGGGCAAAATCAGTACTTGGTCCTGCTAGTGAAGGCAGGGGGCTGGACTCAATGACCTTTCAAGGTCCCTTTCAGTTCTAGGAGCTAGGATATCTCCATTAATTTATTTGTATTTTATTATTTAAGCAGAGCAAGAATTATTTCCAGGGGATTATATTCAGTTCTGAGAGTCATTTGTGAATAGGAATAACTTGAGAAGTTTAACATACAGCACATGAATCCTAAAAACAAGGAGCACTAGGTTTTAGTCTTACAAAATGCAACACAAATATGAAGTACCAAAACAAACAAAGCCAACCATGGTAGAAATTTTGTCCATATCTCTATAAAGTACATAAAACAACCAGGAATAAACTAAACGTACAATGAAGACATATCAAATGGATATAAAAATAAAATGCATGTAGCTAACAGCTGTAAACTTCCCATATGCTAATGGGAGATTTATTACTTGAACGTGGACAAAGTCTTCCGTATCCTCCATTTAAGGTTTGGGATTTCAAATGCCACTAATTTATATTAACAAGCAGTGGAGCATCACCAGGTTGGTGTGTAATTTAATGTCAAATAAAGTCTGCTAAAAGGCATAGATGAGAAATACAATCTAGCATTTGGGCTGCAAGGGAAATGAAATCTCAACAAAGATTGTGTTGCTGATCAAACAATAACAGCTGCTATAGTGATTGTATCTCGTTACAATAGAAGTAGGAAGAGCTGCAGAAAGAAACAACAGGACAAATTGATGCCTGGTGTTATTCCACTGGCTCCATTAGAGGTACACCAAGGACAAATTTGTCCCACACAGTTCAGTGGCTAGTGAAGGATTCGGTACACTGAACCTTATTGGGATTGTATTTCCATTGCACCTGAAATCTATTTGAAATATCGAGTACTGCTGGACAGCAAAAGAAAAGAGGAGGAAAATGGAGAGGTAGCAGATAACAGGAGGAAAGACGACAAATTGGAGATATGGGAAAGGGGATAATAGGGTTGAGTATTGGGAATAAAATTACTCAGATGTCAGGAAGGCCTGGACAATTTGTCCTTAGGTAGGAAAACTAAAAGAAACGATGAAAATAGAAAGGTAAAAAGGATAACTCCTCAAATTTCCACTACCATTAGAGCAATTTTTAGAGTCCATTGGTCTTAGAAACATTTTAAAGAGACTATAAACTGCAACATTTTACAAGGTCCAATTATGGCACCAGCTGCACAAATATGTCCAAGAGAAATCCTCTGGTTGGCAGTAGAAATGGTTTCAAACCCTTTGGAGAGGCTGCTCCACAATCCTCTGTAGACAGAGGGGCATTCCAAGTGACAGAATCAAGATGATGGGCTGCATGTTTACACCCCCACCTGGTCCCAACCATATACATTATACCAGTAGAAGAAATTATAATACTAAATAATTATTTTCCTAAAGGAAATGGACACTTTGTATTTCTGTTCCTCCTAGAAGGAAGATTGTTATTGGGCTTGATGCAGGAATTATTGGGTGAAATGCTATTGTCTGTGTTATGCAGAAGATCATCTATGGATTATCTAAACTATGGTAGATCATCATAATGGCCTTAAAAGCCTATCAACAATCTGCATTAGGTAAAGTGAAGAATTAGCTGAACAGGGGAACCACTTAGAGACAATCCAGAAGTGCATCAGTCCTCCTTTTATTGTGCCTCTGTGCACCAGTTTCATACTGGGTATAAATCTCCCTAGAGATCAGAGTTTGGCCACTGCTATTTTAGAAGGATAAAATCTCAGCATAAAGCTTACAGATGTTGCATTGCCCTTAACAGGGCATGGTTTCTAAACTCTTAGAAGGGAACAACTGGTTTCTCACTATAATTGAGATTTTCAACTTCCTACAAACTCATCCCTTGTCTTACCCATTCTAAAGTTGTAAATAATTATCTGTGAAAAACATTGTTGCATTGTTAAAATATGAACCCACAGATCAAAAAGTCTTACTCCAAGAGTAAGGAAACCACAAAGTCAAGTCCCAGCCCTTCCGGAACTTGTATAAAGAGAGTTCCAGGAAATAACAGTTCACCTGTATTTTACTGCTGTTAATTCTGTTGAAGCATTAAAGCCAAAGATAAAGTCTGCAGTTCTGATGTGCATACCATGTGTTTCACTTAAGGATTCACAATAAAAAGTCGGTAGTACTAAGCAAACAGTAGTAACCCTAGCACCCAAATCTCTTTTTGCCAACAAAGCAGTAAAATCAGGCTCACCAGTAAGGTGACCTCCATGTTCAGTGCTAAACCACACATCGAGGGAGGCTATATTGATCTCTTGTCACTTGGTGAGGAAATCCACATTTACCTTCAGCATCCAAGAGAAACCTGACTTATCATTGATAACCAATAGACCTGGAATACCCTTTTAAGGCCTTCAAAATGATAGCTGGAGACCCTGGATTGCCCAGGGTACATTACAAATTTAAAATGTGTTTTGGAGTGCTATATTTTTGTGTTGCCTTCTTGTAAATTTTGTAATTTACTTATATTCCAAGCATTGTATTTCATGCAATCAAACTTTCAAACACTGAATGAACCTTAAACAGCAAGTATACCCACAATTTTGCAAACAGTGTGACTGTCTATAAAATGTGTAGCCTGGGTCTTGCCTTCCATATTGAAAGCTAATTCTGCAATTCCAGAGAGAAGAGCATAAAAGAGACCAAATATTACATCCTAGATTTAAAAAAAAGTGTTATATTTTTCTCTACACCAACAGTATGGCTGAACATACTTTAGCTATCACCATATTTTAATGACATTTCACATTTAGAAGAACTCAGAAATAAATTATACACAAGAACTAGACAATCCCAAGTTGTGTGTGCATGCACACACATACAATTCACTGATGTGCTGGTTAACTTTTATTATTAAAGGTATGATTGCTAAATCATTCTGGTCTTAAGTTATCCTGCCTTTCGGCACATATAGAATCAGAATATCAGGGTTGGAAGGGACCTCAGGAGGTCATCTAGTCCAACCCCCTGCTCAAAGCAGGACCAATTCCCAACTAAATCATCACAGCATCTCTTTTTAAATCTAGGAATGTAACAATAAAACCTGCTTAATTCCACATGTAAATGAATCCTCCTCCTGTAAAGGTCACACACATTGTTAGCTCAAGGGAGCGGAAGTAAGGTTTCCTGAGAGCTATTCACACTTCAAACACTTAAATAGTTTGGGGCATTTTTGATCACACAATAGCTGGATAGGTGGTCACCATAATACCAGATAAAAAAAATACAAAAGACCTGAAATCCAGTCCCCATGGACCAGAGAAAAGAGACGTATCTCTGTGTGTACACTTATGTTTTCAAGGCACTTCAGATACCATGGTAATGGGTGCTATATAAAAGACCTAGATTAGATAGGTAAATCCCTGAGATTTAGGTCTTCAAAATCCACTATCCCCAGATCCTTCCCACCAGAGGAGGCAGTGCACTGCTGCAGGGAGACTCAGCAACCAACACCTCCTGAAAAAGAGTGATCTAACCTTAAGTGAGGTTTAGGGTAATACCCATCATT